GTAGCCAGGGCGGGGTCGGTAGTCATTAGTAAAGCGAAGATTGACCTAAGTTAGGGTGACCATCTATAATATAGGACAAGAAGCTTACGCTTAAGCTCACAATTAGGATATTCCTATTGCTCGCTTATCGTTATGTCGTCATCGGATATCGTATGACCGATTTTTGCTTCGCATAGTATAAATAAATCTGCAACCGTTCAATACACAAGTATCTAAAAATATCCGGGTAAACCCGGACCGATGGGGTCCTTAGCCTGGTCTAGCGTAATGGAGTTTGTCGCAAATGAGTTCGGTTTTTACGGCACGAGCGACCACCCGCGCGGCACCACCCCTCATTACGAGCGGTCTTACGTAGACAATTCAAAGCGAACGCAAATGCGAAGCGATGACACGAAAATTTCAAAGCAACAAGGCTGCGTGTCTTTGCGCCACCGCTGCTTCTCCATCGCGTACTCTTTGAATTGTCTACTTGGGACTGCGCGTTATTTGTGGTTTCAATCCGCTTTTTACGACGTATCTCCCTCTTCATGACTGCTCCTCTAAGCTCTTTCATCCAAAAATGTCGTAGTTATACCAAGCATTTTAGTTTAAAATTGTACTCTAATACTGTAACACAAAAGTCAAAATCAGTTTCCTTTGGATTTTGCACAGATAGATTGCGGTAAGCTAATGCCTGTATCCAAATTCATTTATGAATGAGTGGCGAAAATATAAAAGTAACTACTGAGTATACGACAAGGGAATCTCTCTAAGCAATTCGCAAAGTAATTGTTGTTCTTTAGCGGCGAACGAGTCATCAGACAATTGAAATAACGAATTATAATTTCTAATTGCATCTCATAGTAACCTCTTCTTTCTTGAACTCAATGAAAATTATTGCTTTGAAGATCCTTCTAAGAAAAGTAGGCATGATTAACGTGTTTTTAATTGTTGGTAGTCTTGTTTCCTATATTTTTGTAATGATGCAATGTCATCATTATTTTAAATACTCTTACCATAGATTATATTTTAACTCCCGGTTTTCGAATTGAGTATTTAAAGTTAAGCATATCTCGAACTGTTCTTAAACAGGTTTTGTTTGGCATAGGTTTGACAAATACTAGGACTTTATACCTTGTGAAAAATAAAAACTAAAGTTGTTGCGAATAATCAGTTGAGATTTTGTATTTTTCTCAATGAAGAAACCGGCCATGAGACTCTAACATTATATTAGGTACGCGAATTTTCTTGTATTGATTTAATTTTTTCTGTAACATTATTAAAATAACGAAAGACAAACATTGTTAGGCCTGCTTCTAATTTTTTTATGATAGCATTATTGTAGAAAATCACCTAATATAAATTGAATTATTAATAGAATTAATAATAATTGAATTGAAGAAATTACATATAATCAACTGTAATTGGTTTTGTTATGAAAAAATACATTAAAAAGTCAAAAAAAGGTATTTAACCACCTTTGTCGGCAACAAAAATTGATTCTTAAAAGATACGTTCCCTCTAAATGCCGGTTGTTTAATTGTAAGAAGTATTTTAGTACAGGTATCAGTTAGTGTCTTTGCCTTACCGTCTCTGAGGGCTGAGTACGATTGCCAAGTTCTTTAAGATTCAAGACCATTCTTAAATCTATTAAATTGTCATGATAGTAATTTTTACAATACTATAGCTATTCAAAAAATATATTAGTCTCGGTTGCTTTTGCTGTCGTTAGTACCCACTAATCGTTACCCCTAACATACGGTAAACCGAAGTAATGGCTGCTAGTGGAGATGAGTCTGCTCTAGAACTTAATTTTGTCCATATTCTTATATGTAAATTGTAGTATTATTTACTTATTATCAATGAACTTGTTTGAAACGGCATGGAAATCGATTTCTAACAGAATAATTATATTTTATTTTTTTAATGTTGTGATTGTTTTCAATTTTGACATCTCTGTATTAAATAATATACAGACCTTGCTGAGGTCCTTGCCGGTTCTTCGGCATAAAGCTTCAACTTTCACAAATTCTTGTAATAGTCTTAAGTGAATAAATGATTCTGATTTTAAGTAATACTTACTGGCTCAGCATTATTAGCCGTACGACTCTTACCATCAAAAAGGTCTGTGATCCAACATCGACATCTGATAATTAAGAATTATGAAGTCCGCAAACGTACATCTTGAGTTTTTAACGTATAATGAATGGCAACATAAAAAAGGTTTATAGTAAAACTGTTTTCCCGCGTAAATTATAGCCTTACCACCCGCTACCTCATACGCGGTTTCCCAGAAGTGAAAGAATTTTCATGATCGAATCAGCCCTGCGATTCTGTAAAACTTCAAACCCGAATTCGAATCCACTCAGGTGTCCGAATTCACTTCAAAAAGCGGCATCCGCTCAAACTTGAATTGGTAATAACGTTTCGTGGCATAAGTGAAGTGATTTTTGAAATGATATTGGATAAAAATATCTAAGACACGTTTAATCAATCAATTTTGTTTAGTATTTTCATACAAAAAAATGGAATCAATAGGATTTCTGTATTAAATGGCGTGAATTCGGACACATGAGTGAATTCGAATTCGGGTCTGGATTTTTACAGAATCGCAGGGCAGAACTCAAAGATTACTCTCTCGACAAACAAAGTTAGAAACTTTACCTCTTTATAATATTAGTATAGACAATAACTCAGCTTTTCCCCCATGATTATATTCTTAAAGATATTAGTATAAATAATAACTTAGCTTTTCCTTATGACTATATTCTTAAAGAATTATTTAAGCACTGTCAAAGTAGAGTCAGTAGAGTGTGTTTTTTCTCTTTAAGTTTCTTTCAAATAGAAACCAACAAACAACAAAAGAAATTTAAGAAATGTGAGTTAGGCTGGAAGCAAATTATGTAATTTTAAAATCAATTGCAATCCCTTTCAACATATATGTACATTCGTACCAATAGTAGAGTAGAAGTTAAAAGTCATAACTTAAGCAAATATTTTAAAAACAAAAATTTTAATGAATAAAAACTGTCAATAACTAATAATAAAGCATTCTAACTTTTGAGATTCTCACTTCACTCAAATTCTTGTTTGTTTCTTAAAATACTTAAGTTATGACTCAAGTTTGACTCAACTTTACCTACACGAATCCAAACATGTTTTACTCATTTGAAAATTCTTTTCAGTTTATTGTATAGTATGTCGATTTCTCTGATGTGAACATTAATGCTAAATGTAATGAAAAAAATGGGCCTTAGAAAAGCCGAGTTAATGAAATCAATTTCAAACTTAATCAAGCTTCGGGTATTACCTGAAAATTTATTTATTTCCTTATGTGTCGTTAACAAACTGATCTAATTGTTCAATATAATTGATCATTTTGCATATACAATATTATACTGAAATATCAATGTAATATTATAAGATAGAACGATTTAATTCTTATAAAAATACTTTAAAAAAGTCGGGCACATCGGACTGGCGATGTTTTAAATATTTTTCTAAAATCTAGCTATTCTTAATTTTTGAAACAAAGACAATTTGTTGAAAAAGTGTTATTATAAAGAGTACCTACTTTTTAAATTATTTAATATACATATGTATGCTATTTACTATGTAATAGATAGTCCAATGACTGGATTCTGCCTTGATACATATTATTGAATTATGTATAGGTCAGGAATACTATGGGTTAACACATTTATAATTTGAATTAAGAAATGTAACTAATAAGATTTTTTTAAAGTATATATAGATAAATGTTTTGTTTCTAGATTTTAATTGTGAGTATACTATACTGATATATGTGAGTATGCTATACTCACAAATAAAATAGGATATCATAACATTACGACAGGATTTGATTAAAAAAAAATGCGATACGTCCACTCGGAAAAAAATATATTCAATTTTTAAAAAATCAATTTCAGGCATTTTTAATTCGCACAATTTTGTACAATATAATTTATACATCATATGAGTAATTATAAAATTACAATTTGTTTTAAGCCAACAGAACAGCACAGGGTAGTGTAACATATATTTAATATTTTGGTTATTAATAAAATATACAGACTCAAAAGATTATTAATTATAATGAAAATAAACTTAAACAAGACACAATAAGAAACTGACCAATTATAAAATGTTTTTTGGCTCACCATCACAATATTACACTGTTTTTTCATAATTTTTTGTCCAAGTTTTTAATGAAACGTTTTTTCCTTCTTTTCTTTATAAGAAGCTAAGCTAACAGGCTTAGCTTCTTATAGTTCAATAGCTCAGTTACACTGATCGACGGAGTCAGCACGCGGAGTGTCGATTGCAGCACCACCTCATTGATTAATTAAACAATGACAGACCAATGAAAGCGAGTTACAAAAATTCCTCGTAACATACGTCATCGACCAGTGTAACTGACCCATAACCCATTGTATGTTATTTTTTAAGTCAATTGCTTTACATATTGATTTAACCTGCAGTGCAATCGCATGACTCTCTTTCTATAGCTATAAGAATGTTTTATTGATTTTATAGTTTCTCTTATAGCGATCTTATAGCGACGTTTTTTTAATCATTTGAGTTTTTGAAACTCCTTTATTTGTCTTAGCTCCACTTTTTTCAATCATATTTATTAATTCAGAAAATTATTACAATCAAAACCTAAATATGTGAATTTTTCATTGTTTAAATATATATAAATAATTACTACATTTGATCAATTTTGCATTCATAATGCTATACTGGAAAATATTTTTAATGAAAAATGCTAATTATCTCAGAGAACTAGGGACAAAGTGGATTTTTTAAGCATTTTTTGTTAAGAATATTCATAATAACATACGAATTTTATCGAAGAAAAATATTCATTGATTAAATAAATTAAACTTTTTTATAGTTATAGCTTCAGCCGTAGCTAAAAAGTTAGGTAGTTGAGCTGATGATGCGCTGCTGTTAGTAATACAATGATGACAACTAGAAAAATATAATTCAAATTATTCATTATGAACGCGTTCGAAATAGATTACTTATATTTTTTATTGGAATGTAACATTTCGGTCCTTAAAACAATCGTACTGACAAATATAATTTGATTCATTTATTTTTTTCTATTATAACTATTGATGTACACGGAATTAATTAACTGAGTGTTTTCATCATAATTGTAATCTTTACATGCACATGCTATTAAATAAGTAAATAGGTCAAAGCTTTCACTGAATTTAAATATTACCATCGTGCATATAACCCTATTTATAGCAAATATAGACAATATTATTATTATTATAAAAAAATCACAATGACAAAAAACAAACAAATCGTTATTGAAAAAATATCTACTTTATTTTAAGTCTGTATATTTTAAATATTTATGTAGGATGCAATAATAATAAAAGATTTCAGAATATACAAATTAATTAAGATAACTGAAGAAAAATTAGTTAAAAGGCTCAAATATTGACACGAAAGCTATCTTATTACATTAAAAATATTTTATTTTAAGGTTTAGTTTTCCAAACAGTCGACGAACAATCTGAACAATAAATAAATTGCATCTTTTTCCATGACCTGTAGAGGTATTCAATAAATTATAAACTGCAAATTTGGACTAAAACAGTGATTCTACTTAGCCTAATTACCATACAATTTCTAGCTATAATAAGATAATTATATTTATTCGATATATATAACTGTACAACACTTTAAAGTCTCACAATACATAAGAGCGATATCGCAACGTCTTTAGTTAGTAGTCCGATTCACTATACACAGTGTTTTGATATGTGTTATATACAGCGTGCGCGGGCGCAGCGAGATATCACAGGAGCGGTGCAGTGTGGTGCGGCACAGGTAGCGCCGCGCGCCCCCGTCACACCAGCGTACTTGGTTTCACATCCAAAGAATGCTCTGGCGACCGACCGCCAGCACCCCCCTCTCCTTGACTGTTCTCTTCAGAATCTGAACATGAATCCGAACTACCTTTCTTGCCCCCGTTATGCGTCTTCACATGCTTCGCAAGATGGTCCGACCGCATAAATCTCTTATTGCATACCGGACACGCAAACCTCTTCTCCCCTGTATGGGTGCGCAAGTGCCGTTGCAGCTCATCGGAGCGTGTAAATCGTTTACCGCAGAATAACCAGTTGCACACAAATGGCCGCTCACCAGTATGCCAGCGCAGGTGAGCCTTTAAATGGGAAGTTTTACCGTATACTTTGCCACAACCAGGTATATGACAGCTGTGTATATTCTTTTTTCTTAGATGAGCACCAGCCGGTCCTAATCTTTCTGCTTCTTGACAGTTCGGGCAGTCGCAGGTGGCTCGACCGGCATAGCGCCTCTGCGATCTAGGTGAGGGTGCTTGTGTGGGTGGCGCCGGTGACCCTGGCCCATGCAGACCGAAGGATCCTTGCGTTGGTAAGACAGATTTATATGCATCTTGCAAAAGATGAGGAGCCGGTGGTAGTAAATGTGCTCCTCCAGAAAGTGAATGTGTCAGTTGTGAGTAATCTTGCCCGGCGTAGTTGGCCATTTGTCCACCAACGTCAAGCCAACCGCTGTGTACATCCCACCATGTACTGCCAACAGCACTGACTCCACTCATTTCTGCGGCTTTCAGTGCTCCACTGCCACCTCCTCCGCCGACATTGAAAGGCCATGATTCATAAGGGTGTCGCGAATACATCGAGCCAAGACTAGCACTGGATTCACTTTTGCCGAGTAGCTGATCTCCTGATGGAGGAAAATAGAGATCATTGCCGTAAGAAGGAGCAGCAGCGCATGAGGTTGGAGCACGTGCGTAAGGTGCACATGCTGGTGGTTGCGAGCGTGGAGCTGCGCTGCTCACAGGAGGGGAGTGTGCCCCAGGACTTTTCTTCCACGGATGAAATCCCTTGCCGACCGCTGCATCTGCCAGCGGAGGCGGCGACTTGCTTGATAACTTGTTACACTGCGCCGCCAGCATTGCCAAAGGCGTACCGCGTAAGCTGGGATGTTCCTGAAAAGACAGACAAGAAACTGTTAATTATTTCGAAAGCAAAAAAATACAATATAGTATCTGGTTTAATTAACGAAGTATGTTTAGACCGTGTGAATTGACCGGACCGTCTACTCTAATTTATTGCCTAATTTATATGGGAACTAATGCTGCGCTGTCGGTTGTGCCTCGGGCGCGGAGAAGTAATATAAATAAATTATGAGAGGTTTATAGGTGGAATATTTACAATTAGGCGTGGTGACAGCTCCCGGCCGCTACTGGCGACATGCCCGTGCAGCCTCGGGATATCGTAATTAAAATAAGCTACCTACTCGATGTCAGTTGACCGTAAAACGGTTTAATGCGGCTAAGTATTAAGACCTACTAATTATTATCAATCGGTTTTGTGAAACAACCAATAAACTAATGACTATCAGTCGGTTTCTGATTTGAGAAAAATACAAAATCTCAACTGATTATTCTCAATAATTAAAGTTTTTTACGTTCTACAAGTAAAAAAGTCATAGTTTAATAAAAATGCTATCAACTGATCACTTAAAACATAAATCAGGAACGAAAACATGATTAAGTGACGTCTAAGTGCAGTTTGAGACATTCTTAAATTTAAATTCTCAATTCATAAACCGGGTGTTAGTCTTTTTTAAATGATTTTTTTTTATGTAATCGTATAATAAATTATACCTATTCATTTATATTATCGTGGTAGATATTCGTAATGTCCCGTCCTATTAGCCAAATTTTAATTACATTGAATAAAAAAAAACTAAAAATAAAAAATGCGAACGTAAAAATCTCAACATGCAAACGCATCATAAAAACTTTTCACGTTGTATAAAGAGCGTAATCCGTTCACCGCTGCTCATTTGGTGGATTCGAATAAAGGTGAGGGGCAGGAGAACATCCGGCCGGATATTTCACCCCAATACGGGGCACAATGGCTCGATAAAAAAGTCCCATTGTGTGAAATAATATAATCCGGGGATCGGGACATGGAACCGCGGCGGGGCGCGGGGGGACCACGCCCCTTAACATTGTGATTGGCGCAGCTGGCGCGGTGTGCACCAACCCTAATTGTCACTGATATACGGAATTTCTCATAAACTTTTGTCTAAAGAATATTCCCACAATATAATAAGCGCTAAAGATCATTTTTGTTTTGGATCAAACAGAACCCAAAAATCGGATTAGATTAGTTGCCAACTGTACAAATAAGAAGATAATCCAATAACTACAAAGTTCTAATGCCATTTGGAAGGCACGTAAGGTCATTAGTTTGGGCTGCATTTGCAGCTGTTAACACTCATAAATCCGCACTAGGCCCGCGTGGGTATTGGCCCGATCTACGTGTTCGATTCCATTCATTGGGAAGGCCTGTTGCCCCAGGACATTAATAAGCTAATAATAATATTAATCTAAACATAACATTACGAACGAATTATTTTACGAACGATGAGAAGTAAGAGTCTGGAAGTAGATAATATCCTGTCACTTAAAATAGTCAAACAGTATAAGTTTCATACATTATCAACCATAAAATAAGCACTTAACGTAATACATAACGGGTACTCAATGCCTACATGTTTTCTGACAAACAAATAGAAATAATGGCGCAGAGAACATTATCGCGGCATCTATATAGCTCAATCGTCAAATATGGCCGGCTCTTGATTAGCAGCCATGAGTATAGACGTTAAAAAATAATAAAACGTCATTAACACGGCGTCGCCGCTCGGCTACAAAATAACCAGCCTCAATTGAAGAAACGATAGTATCTTCCAAGTGTCATTACTTTGTTGTTTATTATTTACGCTTTCGAACTACGCAGTTTTCACAAAAGTTCAATTCGAAGGAATTATTGAACTTCAGATCTCTATAATTCTAATGGTAGTAACCTTTGAGAATTGCATCTTTCTAAATCGAAACATCGGAAAGTGCCTCAGGCTGAATCGATTGCTAACACTGTAATAACTATCCTCTTGTACACGTAATAAATATCTAAATGTCACTATTACAAAAAGTCCACACCTCAACAATGGTCCGAGCAATTTGGAGATAATAGAACCGACGTGAGGCGACGGTGCATCGTCACGGGCATAATTACCCTAGGCATTATACCCCATTTGGGTGCAGGCCGAAAGAACCAGAGTGATATCGAGTAATTGGTCGTCAGCGGGCGAAAGCTCGATCAAAGCGGGATGACGCCTCAAGCCGCCGAGCCGGCGCCACCGCCGTATTACAATGTTGATGGCCTTTTCCTTGTCAAAAATGACGAAGATCTTACCGTAAAAAAATACGAGACGAAACAAAACGAGATTACCTAATGCGAGCACAAAATTGTAGTATCATAGGTCAGGTAGTCGACAAAGGAATGGGTAAACAAAGGAGTTACTATTCCGTTGTTTCTTTGAGGAATACGTTATATATATGTAACATGTTTTGGCATGTTAAACATTAAAAAAAAAACTGTTTACAGTAATATCTTTCCTTAATTTCATTACTGTAGTTACCCCCTAGATATAAGATATACGCCCGTTGATTTTGAGCTCTAGCCAGAAAACGTTAAGGTTTTAAAATAAAGTGGAGAATTAGTATAATAACCTGACGCGCTGTTGACCGAACAAAAAAAATAATAGCTTGACTAATACAAAAATCAATGAATTTAAGTTTTAATGGGCAGGCCTGTCATAAATTGATAATTAAATTCTGAGTTAGATAGAGTTAAAACATATATTAATGTGCATACAAACATAACAGCTTTGCAAATCGAGTTATGATCGCTAACTACATAAATAATAATAAAACCTTTTTTAGTCAACTGGTTTTATAGTGGTCCATGATTACAGTTTTAATTTAAGTTTATAATGGCTATTAAATAAATATTGCAATACAGCCTCCATTGATCACATCAAATAGAATTAATAAGAATTTGAAAGGGAACCGGATGTATCAATGACTAAGTGTATCGGATTACTTAATTACAGGGCCGCATGAACTAGACTGCGATTTGCTTGATGCAACGTGAATCAATATTACGCAATGTTACCATAAAATTAATAATTTGAATCCATCATGGTCAGATCTAGAACAAAGAAGTTAATTGAAAGATCTTGAAGAGTGAATAAGCAACAAAATTTGCCACAAACGATGTTTGATTATTGAAAATACAAAGTAGACATGGATTTTTGGGAAAATAAAGTACCTAATCTGGCCATAAATTCTGTTACCGGCTGTTTACATACATTAAAAAAAAAACATAAATTTGAATTTAAAAACATTAGATTCTACGATAAAAATAGACTTCTTTCCCTCCATTATTGTATGTTTTTTGTTTAGAAATTATTTGCTATAAAAATGGAGTGGGGCACTAAAGAGAATAGGTTTGCAGTAATTGCATTGTACAAAGTAGGTAAGGAGCCAGCAGATATTTTTGATAAATTGAAGAAGCTAGGGATTAGCCCAATGTTTGTGTATCGTACCATCCAAGGGTACACCGAAACCATGTCTGTTGATGACCGTGAGTGATCAGGCCGATCGCGGTCTATTCGAACAAACCAGGTCGTAAATTCAGTCAAGGTCAGAATTCGTCGAAAACCCATAAGGAAGCAGAATATCCTTGAGAATCTCAATGAGAACACTTTCTTGGATTATCAAACATGCCTTCATAAGGCGCGCACTACCCAAATTTGGCTTGAGCAAAATGTTCCATACTTCATAAATGCTGATGATTGGCCTTCGGCTAGTCCGGATTTAAACTATAAATTGTGGTCTGTGCTAGAGGACCTGCTCTATGCGTCACCTAGATATCGATACGCTCAAGAAATTTTTGGAAGCAGCAGTGATCAAGTTTCCAATGGAAACCGTTTATAAATCCATCGACGAATGGCTTTGAATAACTAGTTTAGTAAGTTAACATATCTTTTTCACTCTACATAACCATATATAAAACTTTGAAATATTTTTTTTAATAAATTATCGAATATTTTCTTTGTAACAGAACCTATGGCTAGACTAGGTATTTACGTTTTCCTCAAGTTTACAATTAATATGCTATCAACTACGATATTTTATTAAAAAGGTAATGCCTGTCACTAAAATCTGCAAGGTAATTTGATATCAGCAGGACGATTCTGTAAAAATCCGAACCCGAATTCGAATTCACTCATGTGTCCGAATTCACGTTATTTAGTGAAGAAATTCTATTTTGTATAAAAGTACAAAACAAAATTGATTGATTATACGTGTCTCAGATATTCTATTCCTATGTCCTTTCGAAACTCACTTCACTTATGCCACGGAACGTTATTACCAATTCAAGATTGAGCGGATGCCGCTTTTGATGTGAATTCGGACACCTGAGTGAATTTGAATTCGGGTTTGGATTTTTTAACAGCAAAAAAATTGTATATTTTTGTATAATATAATCATTTTATCTAACACATTATGAATTCCCTATAGATTTGCACGGGTATGTATCTGCAAGAGTTGGTTCTTCTTCTTCTTATTCTTTTATTAATGGCTTATCTGCGAATTTCGCACAATTCTGCCAATGTCAAGTAAATAAATTAATTTCAATTTAAAAGATGGCAATGATATGATTAAAATGCATTCATTTTTAGAAATCTAATACCTGACATAATTGTCCTGACATATGTAATTGTCGGGTATTAGTTTTTAATAAGGAAGTTAAAAAAAAATACTTAAACTAAAATAAATGTTACTAGATGACGCTTTAAATGAACCACGAAGAGTTTATACACGATGACTAATTAATATTCGAAACTCAATTTACTTTTATTACCTTCGATCGATATATGATCTAAGGTATTACACAGAAAGAATACATCAGAAAGAAAATCTTTCGAGGAGATATTCTTTATTTTTACTTGCATATTCCAAAGTACATAACTACATCTAGTTTATTTATGAGAACCGCTTTTCAAAATACTTCCTCATTGCTCTCGAAACGGCTGAATAATCTATCATCAAAAAAACGAAAC